ATATATCTGTCACTGAGACTGTTATAGTGTAATATATCTGTCACTGGGACTGTTACAGTGTAATATATCTGTCACTGAGACTGTTACAGTGTAATATATCTGTCACTGAGACTATTACAGTGTATGATATCTGTAACTGAGACTGTTACAGTGTATAATATCTGTCACTGAGACTGTTACAGTGTAATATATCTGTAACTGAGACTGTTACAGTGTAATATATCTGTCACTGAGACTGTTACAATGTAATATATCTGTCACTGAGACTGTTACAGTGTAACATATCTGTAACTGAGACTGTTACAGTGAAATATATCTGTCACTGAGACTGTTACAATGTAATATATCTGTAACTGAGACTGTTACAGTGTAATATATCTGTAACTGAGACTGTTACAGTGTAATATATCTGTAACTGATACTGTTACAGTGTAATATATCTGTAACTGAGACTGTTACAGTGTAATATATCTGTCACTGAGACTGTTACAGTGTAATATATCTCCTCATCATAAATTTTCGATTCCGGATATTTTGGCCTTTAAAGATAGCTTACTCTGAAAGGTTTCTACCAAACTCATGCAAAAAATCCTAAACAAAAAATTTATATCTTTGTGGATTGAAAGATGTGACGCTTGTAAGATGAAATGAACAAGGAAGTATTGGAGTCCCACAAATAAAAAACAACAACTAATCGTTAACCAGTTTGTGAGAGTTCAGGAATGTCATATAATATAAACTTACACGCTGCAAATAAGGAATCGGGAGAGTTTTTTCCACAGTACAAAACTTTACGTTTACGCTTTATGACAACGTAGTTTTCACGAAGTTAATATTAAAAGTAAAGCTTACAAGAAACCATCTTCTCTACAATAAAATTAAAGTTTACAAGAAACAGTATTCTATAAAATAAGACTAAAGTTTACAAGAAACCATCTTCTCTACAATAAAATTAAAGTTTACAAGAAACAATATTCTCTACAATAAAACTAAAGTACAAGAAACAATGTTCTCTACAATAAAACTAAAGTTTACAACAAACAATATTCTCTATACTAAAACTAAAGATCACAAAGAACCAACTTCTCTACAGTAAACTAAAGCTATCCACGCCTTCCAAGAAACTGTTTTCTGAACAATAGGAAATAAATACTTACCAGAAAGTAAAATGTGATAAAATAACAAACCAACAACCATTAAAAGAAAGTTTGTGAGCATTACTGGAAACATTATTTCTTACTTAGGACATTTTTACTTTTTACAGAAGAAGATAAATGGGTGAAGTCGAAATATGCAGATCCGTTTTACAGCAATCTGTTGATCTTGTAACATTTTTAAACCAGAAAAATTTAAGTCTAAAAAACACGAAATATTAAAACAATTTCATTAAAACCAAATGGTTAAAATCCTGACTGGTATATTAGATTGTGATACTTATTGAACCAGATTATTTTAAACCAACTTCTACTTTCATCTAAACTTGTAAATATATTAACAATACCAAAAATTTCAAGAATATTTATATTAAAGACTTGATTTACGAGTTAGTAAATATTAAACCTGAATCTATATTGTTTTTTAAAACTTAAAACAAAATTTCGTTCATTAAAGAGCCACACGTGAAGATCTTTGTTTCTAGTCCCGTTCCCATAAAAACGAGTTCAGCACCAGAGTGTGCATAAGATTGACTGTCAAATCCCACAACTCAATTGGTATACCCCAAGAGTTGAGAGGGGAGGGTGCTGCTTTCCCTCTACTTTATTAGCTCAAAATCAGCAACGGCTCACTCAACTAGGCCTTGTTTAGCTTTTCGAGCGAGTATCCGAGACAAACAGACACTGACTCCTTCCACCATATTGTTAGATATTGTTACGACAGCGGAAGTCACGTGACGCTGGTAACACGTCATGGGTTTCTAGAAGGATTATGACTGTTCCCAACAACTCTAGTCTTTTCTACGCGTCCTCTATTTTAGTATATAAGCCGGCAAATAAAGTGACGCTATAGAATAGATAAATGCAGACAGGCAGAGACAGACAATTGAGTCAAGCGCGGTAGTGACCGTAAATAAAGTTCGTGAATCGTTGTGAATTATAGCTTGTGTTTAAGTTAAAGTGACTGTGGAAATTAAGTGTATTACAAAGTTGAATTGAGAAAGAATAAACTAGTTTTTATTTAAGAAAGGACTTGTATCGCTGAAGTTTCTTCGGAAAGAATTTTTACGGGTAATTAACAAACGACCAGAGACGTAACAATATTAAACACCCAATCATTTAGCGAGAGATTGTTTTTGAAGTTTCTTCAATCGTTATTGCATTTGAACTACACATATTTTCTACGTTTATGGAAAAGTCTTGTTGTTATAAAATTTTTTTATAACTGCTGAAGATCGATTTTACGTATTTTTCTTAAATTACAGAATCTCAACCTAGAAAACATAATTAACCAATAAGAGTAATTCGGTGACACGTAACCTTTTCTTCGTCAAACTTTTAATGAACAAAAATGTAGATTAAATATCAGAAAGAAATTTCTTTTTTTTAATTTATACAGATTTTTTTATCGGTTGTACATATTATAACTTTTCTTTATTTTGTTCATCAAGTTTGTCATCACGGGAGATAATAATGTACGAACCACTAAAGCTGTTAAACAGGCCGGACAGACAGACAACTTTCCACTCGTTTCGTGAATATGTAGAACCTCCGTCTCGTGTTTATGAACACATGTTTAGGAACTATCATTCTTCTCAGTAGAGAAGACAAACATAATAAAATAGGCCCTATTAATAGAAACATAACCCTATTCTTAACAAAATACAGAGAAGTTAATTTTATCTATTGTAATCACTCCATGGCCAGGTGGTTAGAGCACTTGACTCGCAATCTAGTTGGTCGCGACTTGACTCGCAATCTAGTGTGTCGCGACTTGACTCGCAATCTAGTGTCGCGACTTGACTCGCTATCTAGTGGGTCGCGACTTGACTCGCAATCTAGTTTGTCGCGGGTATGAATTCTCATTGCACCAAACATGATCGCCCTTTCAACTGTGATGGCGATATAATGTGGCGGTCAACCCCACTATTCGTAAAAGAGTAGCCAAAAAGTTGGCGGTGGGTGGCGATGATTAGCTGACATCACTGCTAAATTAGGAAGGGTAGCGCAGATAGCCCTCGCGTAGCTTTGCTCGAAATTCAAGACAAACATAGACTAACAACAAAATTAAGTTATACTTTTGTTGCTAAGCGACATGACATAAAGGCCATTGTTGAAATGTAGTGTTACCAAAACCCATTAGCTTTTCTATATGCATTTTAGACGTTGTTAATGTAACTGATTTTTACCAATAACCTGCGAATTTAATCTTCATAAAAGTTGTTTTGGTTTTAATAACGGATTTTCTATAAGTGAGCTACGCACATTTTGAAAATAGTATTATTTTTTCTATCACGTAAGGATTTTTTACAAATCTGGAAGAAAAAAAAACTTACTTAGATC